TGTGTATCAGTCTTCTTTTTTTGTAATGAGACAAGTCATGAGGGAGATTTCCACATAGGTCATAGCAACTGTCACCTCCAAGGAGAACAGAGTTGTGGACAGTCTATATCACTGTGAGTGTTGATGGCTTAGCTGATTTAGTAGGAGGAAAAGGCTAAGGGTAATTGAGGCTGTTTACAGAGCAGAAAGGTTCCTAGTCCGACTGACATAGATGTTGTTATAGATTTTCTGGATTGCAGTAGAAAATGGACTGTGTGGAAGTGGAGTGTAAAGGAATTTTTGGTGGGAAACAAATTGTATTGTATGTATAGTGTCAATTACATTTGTGGCAGTAAGACACTCTCTGTCCAAGACAAGGCAGAACAGCTTGTAGGCCCACTTAGGGCTTCTCTAACTGAAAACCTTCTCTCTCCAGCAGAACCAAAGCCAGACATCTACCCTTGTTCCTCCTGCCTTCTGGCCTTTTCCTGTCTGCCGTTCCTCCACCAGCATGCTCTGCAGATCTTCCCAGGTGTGTGTGTAGAAAATCACTTCTATCTAGGGGACTCTGGCCTGGGGCATTGGGGGCAGTGGTGTTCTGCTCAGAGCTGCTGGAGTGAAAGCACAGGAGGTCAGGAGAGAGAAGGTGTCTCCAGACCCTTGTTCGTGAGGGCAGAGGAGAGCCAGCCCGCAAGGGCATTGCCCATCCCACCCCGAGCACAGTCGGCAGGTCCCAGAGAAGTCAACTTGGTTCCAGAAAGAGAGCCCAGTTCAGTTCACAGGCTCAACCCTGTGCAAACAGACAAAGGAGTGAAGGAATTAGAGACCCCAAGATGTGGAGCAACCAGCTGTCAAGAATATGAACAAGACTGCAGCCCGAAATTAGACTGCTTTACAAACCAGACGACCTACCCAGGGAAGAAGCCCGATGTCTGCAGGGAGTGTGGGCAGGGCTTTAAGGACAAGTCAGCCCTCATCAGACACCATCGGACACACTCAACGGAGAAGCCTTATGTGTGTGGTGAGTGTGGCCGAGGCTTCAGCCAGATGTCAGCCCTCATTAATCACCAGAGGACACACTCCGGGGA